TGCCACATCTGCCCACCCCAGAGCTGGGGGCCCCAGAGCCCGGGCCAGGGTAGACTTGACTGAGGAGGGACTGGCTGCCTGCTCTTCCGTTGTGACCACAACAGTAGGACCAGGGAGGCCATGAGGCTGCTCCTGTGGCTTTCCATTGCCCCTTTCACGGACCCAATTAAAATACAGTCTCCCATTCCCCAGAAGTCAACCAAGTTGCAGGGCTGTGAGCCCAGCAGTCCTGTTATCCACAGGAAGGAGTGGCCCACCAAACAGTGGCAAGGAGAACCCTCCTCCAACACCTCCCCCCCTTCTGGAAGATTCCAGAAACTTCTCAACCCCAAGAAGACAAAAACCTTGCTGCAGCACATTCCTTTAGCTTACAGGATGCAGACTGAGCCCAAGTGCTCACCTGGACAAGACCTCTCATTCCCAGTGGGCAGCGGAGGCCTGGCTCAGCTGCTGGGCCTCAGGACGTTGCAGAGCTGGCAGTGGTGGGCAGCAGAGGTAACAGTGCTGGCTCTGACTGGTCTGAGCGCGAGGGTCACCTGAGGACACCTGAGCGCAGGGCGTGCAGCAAGCAGCTCTTCAACTTTTCCACGCAGCCCTTACTTGCCCTGAGGTTGAACAGCTGATGCTGAGCCATGTGCAGGCCAGCTGGGAGCCATGGGACTCTAGGTACTCAAGGAAAGCTTGCTGGTTTCCCAAAGTGCATCAGCCTAGCCCCGTTCCCAGCTCTACCTGATGTCTTTGTGAGGAAAATGCCAAAGAAGTCAGCAAGAAAAGGTCAGAGGCCAACCTCAGAGCATTACCTAAAACACTCTATAATCAAAGATACATCTTCCTTTTTCCCAATGCAAGTTGCCGGGCAGATTCAAATGGCCTTGTACCATTGCTGTCTCCATTCATTACCAGCCCAACTTCCAAGGCCACCATCTCTTCTCCCAACTTTCCTCTATGTACGAGACTCACACACTTTCTTTTCTTTGACATACAACTAGCCAGTTTGGTTTTTACTGTTCTGGCAGAATCTGTAATTCCTGTTCTTGAACTCTTTCCTTGAATCTCTCCTGTTTCTTTCTCTCCCTGGTTCTCCGTGAACTCACAGGACAGTACCGGAGCCAATTGTCCGGTCTGGCATTCATGCCCCCCCTTCCTACCCTCCTTGGGCATGGGATGCTGGGGACGCATCAACTATCCTCTATCTTCCAATCTGCCCAGGAGAACCACCTCCTTCCCCAGCCTGCAGAGAAGGAAGTTTGTGATCCTCCTCTTCTTGTGGCCTAGATGTTTCATATTGGGACCAAAGCCAAGATCTAGGATGTGGGACATACCATCCTTATGATTCCACGCACACCCACCGTGCGAGTGGTCCTGTGAGGTAGATGAGATTCTCACCAGCCCCACCACCGTTACACACAAGGTCTGGGGCACAGTACAGAGGCACCCACTGTGAGAATCTGCCTCACTCCCTCCGAGTCAGGAAGGGCAGTGGCACGCATGCCCCAGCTCGAAGGCAATGCTGGTGACCGTGAGTGGTTCACACTAGGGCCTGAGCTGCCAGTGAGGTTTCTGCTTCCTCCTCCCCTAGCTTGGAAATGCCAGAGGCTCAGTGTGGGCTGAGTGCCTGGCTCCCAGCCCTCCTCTCCCCACCCCAGAATACTTACAAGACAGAAATATGGGGCACAATTTCATTTCTACCCCCTTTTTCTCATCTGTAAAATGGGGCTAATAATAGTTACCTGTCTCAGGTGCGTTTTCCTAGGAGGCTTTGAAGTACTAATGGGCACAAATTGGTACATGGAGAAACACTCATTAAGTAATTACACACTGTTCACTAACTAGGTTCAGCTGCTTCTGTACCAAGTCCCACCAAATACAATTGATAGCTTTTTTATGACTATTATTTTTTAACTAAACTGACCTAGCTCCAGGAAGAGCCCTGAGACTGAAGCAGACAATTAGGAGAGGAGCTGATCTCCTAACAAGAAAAACTGAATGAACGTAGTTCAGGTTTAAGGAATTATCTCCAGGGTATCAAGCCAGTAGTGAATGAGAAGCTAATCAGTAGCTCGATGCACTATTGAAGACAATAAACTGTAGATACAGACAGCTCACATGAATATGACTCTAGTAAGAATGCTAAAATTCACCTATTTGATTCACAGATTTGGAATTTAAACCTCAGAGAAATAAGATAAATTGACGAGTGACATCAACTGCCTATCAACTCAACAGTCCAGCTCAATGGTTCCCAACGTTAGCCTTGGGTAGGAATACAGGTGACTAACCCGCTCCCTGACAAAGTCCCACTGGAAACTAAAGAAAGGGACCAGAGATTTCTACCAGGCCTTTCCAGACAATACTGCTTTATGGGGTGTACAGCTGTCCTTCTGCGAAGCTCTGCTGTTGGATCCACCCAAGGAACGAGAGTCAACAGACAGAGTGAGCTGGGTGGGTATGGTGTGGCTCATGTCTGTGAACCTGGCTCAGATCTGGGGATCCTGATTCAAAGCCAGTCTGGGCAGAAAAGTCCATGAGATTCTTATCTCCAATTAACTACCAAAAAGCTGGAAGTGGAGCTGTACTCAAGTGGAAGAGTGCCAGCTTTGAGCAAAAAAGCTAAGGAACAATGCCCAGGGCTTGAGTTCAAGCCCCAGTACTGGTGTGCACGCATGGCTCAGCGTGCATGCACACACACATACACAAAACACATTCAAGAGCTATACTTGGGGTACAGGAGGGAGCTGGGTCTCAGTGACAGACCAGGATATTCACTCCTGCAGAGTGTATCTAGGTCTTCCAACAGAAGTCTGTTCAGGAGTCAGGATTGCTCCCAGATGCTAGGAATGCCTGTGCCTCCCTCAGCTCAGGATGGAACCAGTGGTGTATGGCAGCTCTGGGTCCAAGGACTTCGAGTCAGTGCCCTGTGCCTCTCAGACAGTACCGGTGCTCTCTAGGAACTGCCCAAGGAAGCGTGAGGGAACGTGCATAAATCTGAGGCACATCTAATCTGAGACACAGGCCTAAGGACCCACAGGGTTACCTGATGGGTTCCAGTATAGAGATGTGGCTCTGTGGACAGGTAGGAGACAGACCCAAGCTTCCAGTGAGTTCCAGACCCTCTCCAAGGGCCCCTCTTCCTTCCCACTCTTCCCACTCTTCCCACTCTGGGTTCTGGAACCAAGCAGGATAGAGGGCCGCTCTCTCCCAAGGAGAGCAATTTCCCAGTCCTGTCTCGGGGTCCTCAGCTGCTTTACATAGGCTTTGATGGGTTGAAAAGGGTTGGAGTGAAACCCCAGCAGGGTCCTGGCACAGTGTCTGCTCAGGCGGGGCGGAGCCAGGAGAGGAGGGAAGGCTAATGCCTGGAGGGGGCCCACCTGGGCACTGGCTGCTGCCCGCACAAGAACCCCCAACAGATAGGTGTGTGTGGGGGGGGGGGACATCCCACCACGGCTGTGGCCTTTTGGTCACAGCTACACAGCTCACCGGAAGTGGCAGATGTGACCACACAAAAGTGCGTGGAGCGCACAGGGCAGCCTTGGCCTAGGGGCGCAGGGGTTCAGGGGCTCAGGGGCGCTGCGCGGCCCCTCCCATCTGTGGCTCCTCAGGGCCCAACCAAGTTTCTCACAGGCGCAGGGACGGCGCACGGCGGCGTTCGTACCCCCTGGCCCCGCCCATGTCTCCAGATCCTCCCTTTTAAACCTCCAAGAGCCCGCTGCGCACCTAGTGCCGGCCCACCAAGTGTTGGGTTCAGGAGAGGTCTCCGCGCACCCCCAGCCACCCCCGGCCTCCCCCGGTGGCCAGGGTGTCACCGCCCAGGACTGAGAATCTCCGCTAAGTCCCGAGCTTGGCTCCGAGGAAAGCAACAGGCGCCTCGGGCCACGTTTTAATTGTTAGCTCCCCGTGAGAGTGCAGACGCCTGCCTGCCAAGCACCAGACGCCAAGGAGGGGAGACGGACTGACAGACACAAGCACCCCCACCTCCCCGCCCCGCGCGCACCCCCGGGTGGGCACGGAGTTTGCCGCCTTCCAACCCCTCGCGGGGGGCGCGGACCCCAAGCGGGACTTACCGCCAAGACGCCCCGGGCCAGGCACAGGGTCGCAGCCCCCAGCAGCAGCCACCTGTGGGGAGAGGGGTGGGAGAGGCCGTGAGCCCGCGGGGCCCTGCCACTTCTGAGGGCGGCTGTCCGGCGCCCCCGCGCGCGCGCGGCCGGGACCGGGCAGGGGGTCGCTTACCGCCGCAGGGCCGCGCCGGGCGCCGCCGTCGGCCCTCGGCCCATGGTGCCCGCCGCCGCTCGGCTCCGCTCGGTCGGTCCGGTCCCGCGCAGCCTGGAGGGCAGAGACAAAGCGGGTCAGACCGGGGCTGCGCGGAGTTCTTTGCGCCGGGCGCTCCGCTTCCCGACGCCCAGCCCATGCCGAGACCGAAGAAGGGGGCGCCTTCTCTTCCGGCCCGGCTGGGGCCCTCGGTGCCGAGCGCGCTCTCCCAACCCCGTCCCCGGCCCGGCCCTGCGCAGCCCCTGCCCGCGGGGCGCCCCGGGCCGGGGGGGATCTGCGACCCGTTCGGGGGGGTCGTCCTTACCTCGGGGTCCGGGATCGGGGGAAGGAGGGGGGGTGATGGCCACGCGCACAGCCCCTCGGGAGCGGTCCCCGCGCCGCGGCCGGCCTGGCTGGGCTCGCCCGTCCCTCGGGCCCGGGTCCGCGAGAGAGCGCCGGGGCGCAGGGGACGCGGGCGGAGCGCGGAGCGCTGAGTGTTGGCGGCGGGGCTCGCGGCGAGCGCAATTCCGGCGCCGCGCGCTCCCGCCGCCTCTTACCCGCGCCGCAGGGTCCTCCCCGCCCCCCCCCCCCCGAGACGCCGCCCGCGCGGGCCCGAGGGGAGGGGGCAGCGCCAACAAATTGAGCTCGGCCGGCCACGCGCAGGTCTCGGCTCAGAGCCGCCGCGCCCGGGACGCTGCTCCGCGCTCCCCGCTCCGACAACCCTGAGCCTGAGCCGCCCGCCGCGGCCCGCACGCGCCCGGCCGCCGGCGCCCACCGCCGGCTCCCGCCGCCTCTCCGCGCCGCCCGGGACGCGCCACCATGGGGCCCCGGCTCGGCGTCTGGCTGCTGCTGCTGCCCGCCGCCCTTCTGCTCCACGAGGAGCGGAGCCGGGCCGCCGCGAAGGTGAGCCCCCCCCCCCCTAGCCCCGGCCCCGGGAGGGGTACCCTCTCCGGCTTCCCCGCCCCGGACCCCCAGGCTCCCCACGAGGCCTCTTTGTCCAGCGCCCCTTGGGGGGCGCGCGGGGCACCGGCCAGGTGCACCCCTCCAGCCGCTCCGGGGTGGGGACCTCGCGCCCCCCCCGCCCCGGTCGCGCATCCAGGACGGACCCTCCTTTGTTACGGTCTAGGGACCGGGGAGTTGGGGGGGAAAAGTTCTGCCGGGCTGGAGGAAAGGAACGAAACTTAGCGCGCACCGTGGCGGAGCTTTGAACCCTCAACGCGGAGGCGCTGGGCAGCCGGGTGCCTTCACCTGCCCGGCATGCGAGCCCCGGGAGCCCAGGCGGGAGGTTGGGAAGGGGGTGCGGGGGCGCACCCCGAGCTGCGCGGGGCCCCGCACACATGTGCCTGGCAGCCGCTTTGGGCGTGTTTCTGGTTGGAGACTGATGGTTGAGGCTCAGCTCTGGGCTGTCTGCCTGGAAACAGCTGTATCCTAGCTTTCCTGGGACGGAAGGACAGACAGACGGACAGGCTTGTGCCGCCTAGGACGGGCTGGCCAGCAGCAGGGGCTGTCTATACCTCCAGCCGAACTGTCCCCTTCTGCTCTTTATTAATAGTGTTTGTCTTAGAATGAGACCCGAGTGTGAAACCAAAGTGAAACTCCATCTCATTGTTCTGCGTTTTCCGACTTTTCCTCTCCTCGGGCTCTCGGCTGGTGCAGAAGGGGCCGTGGAGAGCCATTTGTTTGCCCAAGTCAGACTCAACTTGCAGCCCTGGTGTTGCTTCTCTCTCCCCTCAGGAGAATAAAGACTGAATGGTGCGCGGCCCAGCTGTCCTGACGGCCAGAGGTGTGGCCTCTTCATGCGCCCCCCCCTCCACCCTTAGCTTGTTTTCCCACACATGTTTTTTCTTTTTTAACTATTTCTTAATCTAGCTCTCCCCTTTATTTTTGGTCTTTTCCCCCTCTAGAATTTCACTTCTCTTCTGGAGGAATGAAACTCCTCTTGGATGAAGTGTTACATACTAGAATAGAGAGAGCGGTATTCTGGACTTGTGTGTAGCATGTAGCATGTACTTGTGTCTGTAGGTAAGAACTCGCCTGCTTCTTGGAAGTCCCCCTCCCCCCCCATGGATATCGAAAGGCCGGGTGATTTTTATTAACGACGAAGTTAGAAATATCCTCCGGCCTTTTGAGTCTCTCTGCACCATTCCAGTTGTTTAAACACTCTTTTCTAGTGATGGCCAAATATTTTTTAAAAGCGCGAGCATGAGAACACTTTATTTTGGTTTAGAATACTGACCAGATTTACCACTTCTGAGGAGACATTTTAGGCTGGGTGGCAGGCAGATCGGAGTTCTATTAGAAAGTATGAAACCAGTGTTTGGAGTTGGATGTTCTGATTGGCATGTTAGCAGAGAAGAGCTAACTGCAAGAGCTGACTTATCGGACATCTAGGACTTAAAAGAATGAGGCTGTCATGCATATAAACTCCTGATATTAGCTAAAAAGTGAAACTCACTGATGTTGAGTTTGAGATTATTTTAATTTCCTTTATGTATTCTCTAAAGCCCCAGGACATTTGTGGCCATGAGCTTTGCTGTATCCCTCAAGATATAAAGTTCCTAAGAAATCTGGCCTGTGGCCATCTGATCACCAGTTGACCTGAGATATTATCATTTTATTATATTTTTCCTGGCTGAGTTAGAGAGGAGCAATTAAGATATATATGACATGTGGGTATACAAGATTTCATTTTTAAAATATTGAGTGGGTTTTAAAGTTCAGCTCACTTTGCATGCCATCAGTAAGATTGTTGTTTCCTTCCTTCCAAAATCAGCTGTTAGGTATATCAGAGTGTTGAAAAAACTTATACATTGATCCAAGACAAATATAATTTTTTTAAAAATCCAGCTGAATGGTAAATGCTGCAAAGTTTTCAAGCCCTAATTCAGGAGTGAGTAAATGTAATTCTTGGATTCCTGTGTCTTAAGATTCCTGATTTGTTTATGCACATAGTACCCTACTGTGTGCTGGCTATGAATTATACTTTTTTTTCTCAATGAAAGGCCATTTAGACATTGTCTGCTGTGACTCTTATTATTTCTTTACTAGCAGATGGATTTTTCCAAACTTTTGCTTGTGTGTGTGTGTGTGTGTGTGTGTATGTGTGTGTGTGTATGCATGCATGCACATTAGTACATCAATACTGGGGCTTGAACTGAGGCTCAGGGCCTTTGACCCTTAGCTTTTTTTTGCTGAAGGCTGAAACTCTACCACTTGAGCCATACCTGTACTTCTGTTTTTTTGCTACTTAATTGGTCATAAGTGTCTCATTCTTTTTTGCCCAGGCTGGCTTTGAACTTTGATCCTTAGATCTCATCCTCCTGAGCAGCTAGGTATAGAGGTGTGAGCCACCAGCATCCAACTAAAAAACTATTGCTTTTATCTTATGTTGAAACTACTTCTGTTCCCTGTCCTCCAACCTTTTTTTTCTTTAAGATAAGAAAGACTAGAGACAAATATCAGCCCCAGGAGTTATGATCATATGCACCTCTGATTCTGTTGGGCTGCCATCTTGAGATGAATGAACACCCCTGCCTCCCCTCCCCCTGCCCCACTGGTTCTATATGATGCTTCTTAACAAACTGTCAGGATCAGAAATGTGAACTTTCCCCTAAGAGGTATATCCATCTATACCTGCCTATCAATCTTATCTCCCTGAGTGACCATTAGTCATTCCAGACAGTGAATCCTGGCCCAGAGCTCAAAGGAAGTGAGATTTGGTTCTCCTGGGAGCTTGAACCAGCTTATGGGGATGTGGATTGGATGTGTGGCCTTTGCCTAACTAGTAAGGGCACGAAGGGAGAGGTGGTGGGTGGGTGGGGGTTCTCCAAACCTCATGTTCTTTGTACTTGAGGTTGAATCTGAGGGGCATGTGTGTGTCAGGCCAGGCCTTCATATAGGTGTGTACACTAGAATCACGTGGACAAGGTGAATGCAATTAGGGACAAGAGACCCCAAAGTTTACATCTGCTTTTACTCAGTAGATGACTGGGGGAACTCTTGGAACCCCATGCCTCAGTTTCCCAGGCAGATCTGCCCCTGCCTTACATGGTCCTGCTTTTTCTTCCTTATTCCACAGAACAGGAAGGGACGCCTCCTTCCTATCCTGCCCCAGCTAGGCATTGGCCATGCAACAGAGTGTGACACCCAGTCTCTGCCCAGAAGGCCATAGACCGGTGAGAAGTACTGAGAAACAGAGATACACCCAACATGGCTACCAGCAAGGGAAAACAAGGGCTATGGAGAAGAGGGAGAAATAGGAGCTGCCAGGTAGCAGCTGGTTTTCACCTTGATCTGAGGGATAGCTATAGTGGTAAAGCCAAGGGTCTTTGTGCTGAAAGACAAATTTGGAGTCCCTTCCTAGGAGATTCCAGATGACCTTGTGTATAGCGTTAGCCTGGTGGCTGATCTTTGATCTTGGAAAAGGAAGTGGAGGAACAGATACCCTGAGAACTGTGATAAGGAGCCTCTAGCTCCCTCCTAGTCCTGGGCTGTATCCTGTCCCTTTCCTACATGCACCAAGCCCACTGGGGGGGTTTGGTAGTTTAAATACGGATGACTGACTCTAGGTAGAAGTGCCTGTAGGAACTCACCCAGAAAACCTACCCTGGCTTCACAAAACTCTACATTACTCATTAACAAGGCTGTTGGCACTTTTCTGGGAACTGGTAAGGGGGGTTCTGACAAGGTGGGTTACTCAGTGAAGAGGTGGTGAAGGTTTTTTTTTCAGACAATGGAAGCCATGAGTGATGATGCTCTACAATAAATCCTCATCCACTGGGAGACGTTTCCGGAAGTGAAGGCATCCCGACTTTGTCCTGGGTGCGTTTGGCAAAGTTTGTGATTAGCTGAACAACAGTTGTTCCTGATGTGGAGAAAGGATTAGGCTCACTCAAGTGTCTCTAAAGCAGGTTTGGTATTTTGAGCTCTTGGGATGGAGTAAGCAAAAGCAACAATAGAATGCCTAAAATAATACCCGAATAGCATTGTTCTTCCTGCAATTATTTAGCAGCCACTAAAAAATGTCAGCCATAGAACAAAACAGAAGACAATTCCTACCATTCTGGTGCATACAATGAAAAGCAGTGGAAACTGGATGCTTGCGTTCTAGGACAGGCTCCTGTGAGGTTTGGGAGGGCTGAGGGATTACCTGAGGTTAATGTTTGTGGTCTGTTACACAGCGGGTTACACAGCCATTGCCCTCCATTGTCCTGCCTCTGTCCTGGGCCTTTTAGATTCTCCAAGTCCTGCCCCTTCCCTGGCCCCACACTGGGCGTGTCTTTGGGTTGGGTTCTGCTGGCTTCTCCTTGTTCTCTGTCCTCTATCTTAGGGATTCCCTATCATCTCCTGCCCAATCACCCGCCTTCTTGAACTTTTAGCTGACGTCTTCAGACCATTGGATGCTCCACCCTGGATTTCTGGGTTTAATCTCTAACTTACCCTAGGTGTTCAGAGTTCAGACTTTTATCCAGACCTGTTTCCCTTCAGAGCCCTCCCGTGCGGCCCTGGGTGGCTCCCTGCTGTTTTCTGCTGCTGAGCATGGAGACCATGCTTCTTCTCTAGGCCTTGCCTTTCTCTCCCTTTTAATCCTCAGGTCTGCTGGGTCTCCTATGTGTTTGGAGTCAGCCTGGCCTCCTCCTCTGGGACTCTACTGTAGGTCTCTACAACCATTCCAGGCTGCCCTGCCTTCCTCTCAGCCCTTGTTTTCCTGACTGCTAACACACATTCCTCACTGCTGATGGGGCTGGGAGTCTTCCTATGTTTCCTTTAAACCACATAGTTCTCCCATGTTTCAGGACCTGACTGAGGCTTCCTCCAGCTTCCTATACCTCACCAGCCTGAGTCCACAGCCTCTGCCTGGCCTACACCCTGACATTCTCTGGGGACAGACTGACCCTTGTGCA